CCACCTTAACTTAATGCCTAAGCACCAGGGGTACAATGTTATATGCCTCATGACCCAGTGCTTGCTTCCCCAATGGTCGGTAGATCTATCTTAGGTATTGAGATAGTGGCAGAACAAGACTTAGCAGCAGGCTACAAAAGCTTACCCATTGGCTGAGCCAAAAAAACAAAGACAAAGATCAGCTGCTATTGTGGTTTCACAAGGCAGTGAAAACCAGGAATTCAGTTTCAAAGAAAATGATACACTCTATCTATCTATCTATTAAATGCCAGACATGGTTGCTGTTAAAGGGTCTCAAGCATCGGAACTGGGAAAGACCCAATCGATATCTTGGAACTGTTGCGTTCAAAGACAGAGCTCACCAAACTGGATAAGCCACCTTCACATATCTTTGTCACATCAAAATAAATTAATTACTAGTGATAATTACATATAGCCTTTTGATTCGACAACGGGATGACAAGCCAATGAATTTGTGCAACAAATGCCTTCAAGCTCTGCAGAAGACACTGTCCAAAATCACCTTTCTACGTCTTCAAAAGCCACACTGAAATGAATTTGAGATCCCAGTGAACAACAGAAGCTTGTTGTTGTTGCTGTTCTCAGTTAGTCTAGTCCCCATTTGTTTCAATGCAGCTTCTGCAAGATAAAGTCTCACTGAAATCTGATGGCAACTGGTAACACTCCTAATGAAAGAAACTAGAAGCACAAAGTCTGACATTGAACATTTGCCAGTAGGTTAGTAGCTACTACCATCCAACAATGGCCCTTTGCCTGATCTCTTCTTCTCATCTTCCCTATATGCTTTTGATATGCCCCCAGTTGCTGGCCAAGACATAAAAGTCTGTCCTCAGTAACATCTGAACTTTCTTATAAGTCATAACCCCAGTGCACCCTTATTTCCTGTGCCAATTATAGCATCTGTGTTGCACAATGGCTCTCCCTTATGGTTCTGCTACATTACACATCCATTTCAATTCTGGATCTTCCTCTATAACAGGCATATTTTGTGTCTAGCTGCAGAAAGCAAGTTCTGCTTTATTCAGGTACTGACAATCTATGGACATTGAGAGAAGCAGTCTCTCAATATAGTCACAGAAACCCATCAGCCGCAGAGCAAGGAAAACCGAGGATACACGGCTTCTTAAAAACAGCCAAGTAAACAGAACAAGTGGAAGGTATTTGAGATCCCAGTGAATAACAAAAATAAAAATGTTGGAATAATGGAAGACCACTGCCGGCAAAAAGAAGGAACAAAATCTGAACACTCCACTTTAGTTGAGACTAGAGCAATGGTTCTCAACCTGTGTGTCCCCAGGTGTTTTGGCCTACAACTCCCAGAAATCCCATCCAGTTTACCAGCTTTTAGGATTTCTGGGAATTGAAGGCCAAAACATCTGGGGACCCATAGGTTGAGAACCACTGGACTAGACCAAAAGGGTGCTAAAAAGAACCAACACCATTCGAAAGGGTTCCTGGATCACCAGCATTTGAAAGCAAACAGTTAGATGTATGCTTGGAGTTGTGAAAGACAGGACAGTGACCATAAACATGCAAGGTTACTTGAAAGAACACATCCCCTTCCCAAAGCAGAGAGGGGTCTGTAATGGTTAATTTCTAAAATAAGAGAGTGCTCAAATATCCACATCCAAAGACTCTTTTTATTTAGGTCAGTTGAGTTTTGAGGGTCTAAATACTCTAAAAGAAGCTAAGTATTGACAGCCTTGGTTACGACTTGGATAGGACACCACCAACAAATAGGTGGTAGTATACTGTGTGTGTGTACTTATAAAGTGCCTGAGAAAGCCATCTCTAAGGGCCCTTCCACACAATCATATAATCCAGAATATCAAGGGAGAAAATACCACAATATCTGTTTTGAACTGGGTTATCCACACTGCCAAATAACCTAGTTCAAAGTAGATAATGTGGGATTTTATACAGCTGTGTGGGAGGAGTCTGAGGGCCTTTTCAGACAGGCCTTATATCCCAGAATCCGATCCCAGGTTTTCAGCTTTAAACTGGATTATATGAGTCCACACTCCGGATAATCTGGAATGAACAGAAAACCTGCTATCATCTCCTGGGATATAGGGCCTGTCTAGAAAGACCCCAAGTATCCCTTTCCTATAAAATTCATGGAGTCGCCATAAGGCGAACAATGACTTTAAGGAGTATATAGACACACACCAATATATGCTGCAATCTTCACCCTTTCTGACCTTATGGCCCTTTCAGACAATTCCTGCACATCTGCTACTGCCTCAGAGGTAGCAGAAAAGCACTCTGTATATGCCTGATGCACTGCATGATTGAGGGCTCAGCCAGCTGAGATAAAAACATCAGCGACAGGACTAACTGGTTTGCAATGCACTCTGATTCAAAATTATGGCCTAAAGGATGGATGCCACCCAAAAGCAGAGAACTGCCCACCAGTTTACACAAGACCTTAAGGAGTGATGATGGTAAGGAGGAAATGCTGAGCTATGCAGATGAGGGAGGAAGCCAAGGAGCAAGGAGACTTTAAAATAAAACAGCTGAGTTTTTGAATTCATGTGGTAACAACAGTCCAGTCATAAAAAGTCCTGAAGTTTGTCATTAGGCACAGACCTGTTATGCCCACTCTCACGTTTTAACCACTGCTCCACAATGCTTACACATCTCGGAAGTCAACTGTTTCCTCCTCAGCAAAAAGAGCTAACTTTAAATATCCTCAAGGGAGTCTGAACCACAAACTTTTGCCTCAAATTACTTATATCCAAACAGTAGAGAGAATACCGTGAAAATGGCATAAAGAAATAAAGAAAGCAAGTCTTGCTCTTTGGCTGAGGAATCCAGGACCAAGGTGGAAGGCTCCATGCTCCAACGAAACAGAGCCTGGAAGAAATGCATTATGACTCACACCACAAAACTTAGTGAGACATCCTAGCAAATACCCTGAAGGACAGCTTCTCCCTCTCAGTGTTTTTTGGGGCGGTGTTTTCTTTTTGTATGCATTTAATTGGCAATGTCACACGAATCCATTCAGGTACGGTGACATTTTGACAGCTTTCTGCAATCAAGGGCAAAGAGAGGGGGGGGGGGGAACAATGATGCAAAGTGGGAGTGTGCATGTAAAATAGAAATGAACCCTCTCTTTCTCTAACACTGCTGTGCAAGTTTGGGTGCAAAAACACCCCCAGTTTACAGCCACCGCTCTAGACATGCTCTCTGCCTGTTCTCTGCTTCTTCATGCTGAAGTTCCTCATGTCATCAGCAGAGTAAACATGAACATTCCTCAAGCCTACTGATAATCCAGAAGCTGTTGTTGTTGCTGTGCAAAGCCTTCTCCCCATCACCACCTTCTTGGATTCTTACCTATCCTGGGGAAAAAGGGGGGGGGAGACATGCATGCCTGTGGTATTCTCCCACCCCCTTGTAGCCCCCGGTGGCACAGTGGGTTAAACCCCTGTGCCGGCAGGACTGAAGACCGACAGGTCGCAGGTTTGAATCCGGGGAGAGGCGGATGAGCTCCCTCTATCAGCTCCAGCTCCTCATGCGGGGACATGAGAGAAGCCTCCCACAAGGATGATAAAAACATCAAATCATCCGGGCGTCCCCTGGGCAACGTCCTTGCAGACGGCCAATTCTCTCACACCAGAAGCGACTTGCAGTTTCTCAAGTCACTCCTGACATGACAAAAAAAATCTTGTAATTTTTTAAAATACAGTACCTCTAACTTCTAACCTCTACCTTCCTATCTTGTCTATGCTACGTCATGGCATCAAGGGTGCAGTGCAGCCTCTATTTGGACTGGTGGGAAGAGGGAAGGAGGAGGTATTTGGGCCCAGTTGTCTAACAGATGCTCTTTGTAGCCCAAATCCTATTGGAGTGTTGTATGGTTTCCAGGCTGTATGGCCAAGTCCTAGTAGCATGTTCTCCTAACATTTCGCCTGTATCTGTGGCTTGCCTCTACATTGCTTCACACCTAAGCCTAGAGGTCTCCAACTGGCCTCATCTCTAGGACAATGCGTGAAAACCTTCCCACTCTGTCTTCCCTATTGACCCCCAATACCAGAAACCCACTCATTTCAATTCCTGGGGGGATTTCAATCCTTCCGTTTACCTTTTGCCATCATGGATCTACTGAGGGAGTCTGGCTGGGAAGGCCCCAAGCGCCAGTGCCAATGAAACCTACTCTGAACCTTGAAGAAAGGCAGAGGGAGAGAAACCTGAGCCAATGATGTATTTGTTGAAACCGGAAAGGAAAAGGAAGCTAGGGCAACTACTTCCACCTCTTGGCACACCGGTGACGACCCAGAGGAGAGATGTGCAAAGTGCCTACGTCAAATCAAGAGGTGCCTTCCAAAAAACACAGCCAGTGGGTACGTCTTTGGAGAAAACATGATGCTCTTCAAGACCCCCTTTGGCTGGCATCCTACACTGGCACTTACCAGGGAGGAAGGCCCCTTGAAGCCAACCTCTACGTCCCCATGTGTGGGACTGTGTGTTAATGCTATGTTTTTAAGGCGCATTCTGGTTGTGGAGGTGGGGAGCGGGAGGCATTCCTATGCCTCTTCCATTGAACACCGCTGCACACAGATTTCATGAAAGGAGATTTCTCTTTCAGAGGCTGACAACTGATTTCACTGCCGCCTTTTCCTCCTTCCCCCAAACCCCCAGTCACTCTGATCCTTAGCCATCCCCACATACAAACATATTATCTCCTGGTTTTATGGGACGACGACATACAATAACATTTTGTTTAGGGAGGGAGGAAAATACGCAAGGCGTGTGAATGCCACCAATGCAACACCCCCTTTCTATATATCCTCTGTGGCTTTGGCATTTGTTTTTAATGCAGCTTTGTTCCCAGTGATGAATTCCCAAGAGCAGCCTCCTCCCCTCCATTCCCTTGTGAAAAGAATGGGATCTTTTGCTGCAACCTCCTCCTCCCCACACAGGGAAGGGGCAACATAAGAAATCATAGAATGGAAGAGAAGAAAAGGTTTCCAACTCACCTTCAAGGGCAAAAACAGGGGCGATCCTGACTAGTGTGTGCAGAGATCCTAGCAAGAGCAGCCAGGCCCCCCTCATTTCTCTCCTAGGGGCCATCATGCTGGTGCCAAAAAATGAAAAATAGATTTCAAAAAGCAAGCAAGGGTCTCTCTAGAGGCAAGTCCACCCAAGAAGAGCTGCCTCCTCCTTTTCTTCCTCAGTCCAGCTCTCCTCTTCTTCACTCTTCCTTCCTCGGGGTCTTCAAGGCTCCCTCCATCCAGGGAAAGGAAAGCAGGCAGGCAGGAAGAGCCCCTCTTCTTCTCCTTCTTTCTTTCTTTCTTTCCTTCCTCCTCCTCTTCTCCCTCCCAGCCCAGGAGATGAGAGGGACCCAAAGGCTGGGGAGGGAGAGAGGAGGGGGCTCAGCCCTCCAGAGCAAGAAAGGAAGGGAAAGGGAGCCAGCAGCAGCAGCACACCGCCAAGCTATGGAGAAGCAACGCTCCCCAAAGAATGATGCATGGAGGAATGGAAGAGAGAGAGAGAGAGGGAGAGAAAGGAAGGAAGGAGGTCCTTTTCAATCCAGCAAGGAAGCGGATCCTCTCCTTTTTGTGTTCCCCCCGTACTTTCCAAGCCCTCCTCGGTGGTGCAGAGGAGAGGATGCGCTTGATGCACCGTGGGGGCCCGCTGCTTGCCTTCCTGCAGAGAAGGGGGGAATGAGCAGCCCCTGCCTTGAGCAGCAGAAGCAGCAGCAGCAGCACAAGCCTCCTCCGCCGCCTGATGGAGCTCGCGCCGCCTCCCGCCTGCCTGACGTCATGGGCTCCCAGGGAAAGGCAGGGGAGGGAAAAAAGAGGGAGCGGGACGGGGGCTTGGCCGCCATGGGCCCACGGCGCATGCGCGAGGCGCTCGCCAATTGCTACAACAGGAGGCAGGCAGCAGCCTTCATTTCTCTCCCTCTTTCTAAAATGTACAATTCAGAACAACATCCTATGCAAGTCGCTTCTGGTGTAAGAAACTTGGCAGTCTGCAAGAACGTTGCTGTTTTCCCATCCTGCGGGAGGCTTCTCTCATGTCCCCGCATGGGAAGCTGGAGCTGACAGATGGGAGCTCACCCTTCTCTCCCCAGATTACTGCTCAAGCAGGGAGCGTTGAAATGGTTGAACAGAAGCTCTCCGATTTGCTACCGGGCTCAATTCAACGGGCAGCAGCCAGGATGTTAACCGGGGCTCATTACAGAGAGAGGTCAGCCCTCCTGTTTAAGGAGCTCCACCGGCTGCCGTTTATTTTCCGAGCCCAATTTAAGGTGCAGGTGCTTACTAGGGCTGTCCAACCACGGAAAAATTTGTTTCTAAATTCAATTCATTTTTTTGGGGGGGTTGCGTTTCGTTATTTAAAAGAATTCCGAAAATTTTCTTTAAAAAAGTTCGATATTTACGAAATTTCAGAAATCACAAAACAATTACGAAACAATTACAAATCGATTACGAAT